CAGTTTCATCTGCAACTTGATCTGAAAATCCACCTTCCGTTCCTGGTTTTGCGTGACAATGTCGCGCAGCTACTTATTAAATAATATAGATAGATAGAAGATAGATAGATAAATAGACAACATTTCAACATAAATAGTAATTTATATTATCAGGTCAGAAGTAGTTGGCGATCACATTACCTCACATTTTTCTGCCATGACTAATCTACCTACAATTTAATTAAAGTTTTATAATTCATTTTAAATCTGTTCGCGATTATTATTTAGTAATTAAGCCTATAATATGTCTAACTGTTTATTCTAGTTAATGGTAGCGGATTTATCTCTTATTAATAATTAAGAAAGCCTTCCCTTTAAAAAGAGCTTTATCATATTGTTGCAAAATTATCCCGGGCGTTGTTTTTAAGCGAACAATCTCCGGAGAATTAAAATTAATTTTAAATATCTTTGCAAAATCAATTCTTGGTTCCCTGAAAATTGTGTTTCCAAATAACGACCCAGGCATTATTTTGCGGCATAATTAAAAAATAATAATAAAAAAGCACGAAAAATAAGTTTAAAAAAAAATTTAGAATCAAATTTCTGGAGAATTTTTAAATTGAAATATTATGTGACTGCGCCCTCGATTGGTGGTGTTAACGCTGTGACTGTTATTTCTATTTAAATATACACTGAATTTTATACATTGAACTTTATAACTGAATTTAAAGTTCGGTTTAAACATAAATTGTTGAGTCTATTTAGGAAAGGATTAGGATTATAGACATAACATTTTTGAAATAATAATTTAGTAACGTGAACATTTAGAATAAGATAACATTAAAATTTATTAAAAGTTTATTAGAAGTTTATTAAGTCATTAAAAATTACAATATAAATAGATAACTTAAGAACGTTATATAAAATATTCTTAGCAAAAATAAAAAAAATATGCGATTGGAAGATCAAATATTTCTCAAAAAAAGTGTAGCAACCACTAAAAGATTATTTTATATATTGTAATGACACTATTTTCAAAATTACGCAAATAATAAGATAAACTGCGGTATGAAATTGTAATTTTTTATCTATTAACAATTGATTAAATATGTTTAAGAAAAGAAATAGAAATTATAAATATTTTCTTTAAAAAACCGAGATATTAAATTATTTTTTTGGAAATAAAGCTCCCCCACAAGCTTTTAATCTGGTTATATCAGGTCCAATTTGAATTCCAACTCCGAATTTTTCTGGAAACGATCTTACGTCTGATAAATTATAATTTATATCAAAGTTAAACGTTAACGTTGGACATTCAGTGTTCGCGCAAATATCAAGAGGCGGGGGGTGGAATACATATTGAATGGTTGTTATATCGATAATTGCAAAAAAGAATAAATCTCCATTAATAATAGCATCTCTGGGCGTTGCTGAACCTTTAACTTCAAGATTAGAACCAGCTTTTGGAGGATCAGGGCTAAGTGTTACATTATTGATTGCTGGGACATGTGGTTCGCAACGTTTAAACTTAGCAGCCCTTTTATTCAAATGATATGGAAAAGCATAGACCATGGAAAGTGTGGCCAAAAAAACAAATAACAAGCCAAGTTTTCGGATCATGATTATTGTTTTTTTTTGTTTTTGACTTTAGAGTAAAGTGAAATCATTGTATTTTATAAAAAAAACCAGTCATCTATTTTTCATAAATTTGTTCTTTCAAATTATTAGTTTGAAAATTGATAAAAATAGTTGAAATATTTGAAAAGCTTTGTATAAAAAAATGTTTATTTGAGTTTCCCGACACCTAAATCGGCTGCCAATTAAAAAGATCTTACAAAAAAAGGAATATTATTCCAAGTTGCCATATTTAATTGAGTGTCATCCAGATGAAACCTCAATGCAAATTGGCACATGAATTTTTCTGAAGGTAAACATTAAAAACAAACTTTATAAAATTTGATAGTCATTAAAATCTCATGATCGAGTGGAATAGCGAAAGCAAATACTTATTCAGCTAACCATAAAAGAATACTACCATTTAATTTTAACTAACAAAAATATAGTGATGTGCATTATGCGCATGAAATTTGAAAAAAAATCTAAATTGCACATCACAATAAATAAACTATATTTATAACAATTATTAGTAGACAAATAATCATAAAGTCAAGAATGATACTGAAGGCTTTTTGCAATTCAATTTTTATGTGATTTTCTGAGATTTCAATGGCGCTATTTAGCCATAAGAAGAAATTTCCGAGTATAAACCTGTTTCTTATCATTATTCAAACATTATTCAAGCATATCAAAAATTCAGAATCAGCTTTAATTGCTAGACTTAAAGCAATAATATCTCATGTTTAAAACTTCAACACAAAAGATTTTCAAGATAAATTTTGATAAGTGAATTCAAATTTACAACACTAAAAGAATTTTACATTATAAAATAGCAAAAGCCAAAAGGTTTATACTACTTTCGATATAAACAAATTTAAGAATTTCAAATACCATAAATTAACATACTTGAAACGATTACATTTACCTTTAGCTGGAATAAGATTTAGAGATTTAGTTGTGTATATTTCTAACTTACGAATTCAGCAGATCAAATGGTTATCAGTCGTCCCAGAATTTATGAGAACGGCTGTAATTCACCGGTAGTTTATTTCACCGAAATTTATTTTGTAGATCCTAAACGACTTAGGAATTATTTTCATAACTAAACATAGTAAAACTTTATTACATTGTTAAATAAGTAATCACTTACCCAAATATTATTTATTCCACCTTTAATGCTGTAATGTAGCAAATATGCTTCTAACATGTGCTTGTTTTCAGTCGTTTATATGATTTTAAATTTTAACAGGATTATCCATACCATAGTTATCCGGTAATATAAAATTATTTTGAATTTGGTGTTATCGGATTCATTCGATCAATTTTTATGAGAGCAGCTATAATTGTTGAACAATCGTTTGGTAGTGTAGAATTATCAGTTATAATGCTAATAATTCTGATTATAATATTATTAATTCTTCATTACAAAAGCTAAGATCATCCTGCCATATTATATGGTAATAATAAATTACTCAAGTGATTAATCAGAATGGTTGTGAATATCATAATTAATTAATATGGGATACAACCAGATTTGTATTGGTAAACAGAATTACGTAACACAAATTTATTATAATTCACTAAAATACAATCACTATTTCTATATACCAGGAGCGGAGTTTGTATAACGTACAACGTAGAGTACCAGGAACGGAGTTTGTACAACGTAGAGTATGTTTTATAGTGTCGTGCGGCAAATCGGCGAGTCTGTCGCTAATTCCTTCCAATTCTCGTGTAACCTACGGCGGCTAAGTCG